CTTACAGAAGAATTTTGCAAGGATGACTGAGAATATGGATGGTCTCATCTCTGCTTCTGACCCTTCCTGACTGCCTTGTGCTTGGTCACCGTGTTGTACTTTCCAGTGCTTTATTTTCCATCTTAGACCTCTTTAATGCTTGGGAAAGAGAACAAGAGTGAAACTGCTTCACTCCTTTCATCTTCACCCTTCAATTTCCAAAGCTTAGCACTCTCTGTGGATTTCCTATAAAATTAAAAAGAGGTTATGAAAGGGCTCACAGCCCACAAAGAACTCAATGCATTTTAAATGCACAATTCTGGTAATGGCGTCAGATTTTGGATTTCCAAATGGCAGCCACAATCATGATTTAGAACAGATGGTCAAACCACAGGCAACAGAGTCAACAAAATTTTCTGCCATCCCAAGAGGCTGACAGAATCCAAGAGAAGTATCTGACATCACCTAAATTGGTAAACAGCTCAAAACAATCTTAATTAACAGTTTGCTGGAGCACTTAATGACAGAAAGCATGCCTCAGTAGAAATTGTGTTCTTATGCAGCTCTCATATTATTAACCGGATAAGAAGATGGTTTAATGCCCCCGGGGGAAAAAAAAACAGTCAAAATTAGGAAATCTTGTTTTTTGTGCAAGCTCCAACACTGGGTGATCTTGGGCAGTAATTTGAACTCTCTGAATTTAATTCCTAGTCTCTAAAATGATGTCTAATTTACCTTCTTTTAGCTTTAAATGTGTACCAAATGCAGTGGGGGAGAGAGGAAGAGGGAGATCTTAACCATAAATGAATTATGATGAAGTAAAATTCATCTTTCAATACATTACAGAGGTCTGACAAAAGTTAACTACTATTATTTATTTTGTTACCAGAGTTACTATGGCAGGGGATATCTTTTTTACCAGAAACATTAATGCTTACAACACAGGAAACCATAGTACCTATGGGTAAAGAGCCTTTTTTTCTTTTCTTTTTTTTTTTTTTTTTTGGCAGCTGGCCAGAAAGGGGATCTGAAACCTTGACCTTGGTGTTATCAATACCGTGCTGTAACGAACTAAGCTAACTGGCCAGCCCATAGCCTTTCTTAAATCAATACAAATATGTCACATCATGAGTTTAAAAATGTTGATTTATTTTTTACATGGTCATCTTTGGTCCTCCTCAGTGTTGTCAGTCTTCTGGAATAGTCTTTGAAAAGAAGGGTAATCTTTCCAGCATTACTTGTCATTTGGTACAAGAAATTCCAGTAAGGAAAGACTCCACAGCTGAGCCTCAGAAAGTAAACTAAGGCCGGCCCCGTAGCTCACTCGGTAGAGTGCGGTGCTGATAACACCAAGGCCTCGGGTTCGGATCCTAGATAGGGATGGCTGGTTTGCTCACTGGCTGAGCGTGGTGCTGATAACACCAAGCTAAGGGTTGAGATCCCCTTACCGGTCATCTTTAAAAAAAAAAAAAAAAAAGAGAAGGGAACGGGTAGGCGGAGAAGGGAACAGAATTATGCTCCTGGGAAGAAAGCCCACTGCTCCTCAAGTTACCATTTGTAAACCCTTTACCCGGTTCTGTTTGGGCTATTGTTCTGGGTAAATCATCCGTTGAAAATCAAGCTCTTCAGCTCATTATATATTCTTCATTTGAGGTGACCAGAACTATTTCCTGAAAGCTGGTTTGGATGCTAATTACCTGCTCAAACACCTAGTAAATACCTCCATGGATTTGTTACAAGAAAATTTCACTTTTGGGCCGGTCTGTGGCTCACTCAGGAGAGTGTGGTGCTGATAACACCAAGGCCCCGGGTTCGGATCCCATATAGGGATGGCCGGTTCGCTCACTGGCTGAGCGTGGTGCTGACAACACCAAGTCAAGGGTTAAGATCCCCTTACCAGTCATCTTTTTAAAAAAAAAAGAAAGAAAATTTCACTTTTTAATTCTTTTTAATTGAGCACATTTATTGCAAGTTCTCTTTTAAACTCCTAGTCATGACAATAAAAGCTAAGTAGAAGAGCCCTCTGCTCTTCTAGTCACTGTGAAGTGACTGTTACTCCTCCTCAGCTACCCCAAAGCATAGCTTGAAGCTCTGTTTCAGTTGTAGAGAAACATTTACCAAAGTAAGCCACGTATTTCTACACAGAGAAGTAAGCTTTTTCTTCTGCAGGATTTCTCTCTCTCTCTCTCTCCAGTGAGGCAGGAGCCCCTTTTCACAAATACCCTAAGAAACTTGTACAAAAGAAAACTTGCACTCTCAGAGATTTCTTTCCATTCAGATTTTAAGATAACTGTTTCTGTTAGCCTTCCTTCCATCCTAAACCCCCAACGAAAAAACCTCAAACTCATAGAATATGCCTTGCCATAATGATACGGTAATATTTCTATCAATTTTGACACTGAAAAAAAATTATCTTACTAAGAAAAATGTTTATGCATAGATATAGATATATAGATATAGATACCTCCAATTGATTTAAGTACAAGTTATGCTGCTTTTTTTTTTCTTCCCATATCTAAACAAAGTTCAAAAGAATGAGTGTAGGTGTTATCTTTAAGAAAAATAACCAATAAAGCTAGAACAAAACCACACCAGAAGAACTAACATGTCATTATTTTAAATAAACAGTATTTCAATCTTGTATCTCTTGAAAAGAACTGGAAGACTGGAAATTCACCAATTTCATTCTATGTCTATTGCATCCTGACTAGGCAGGATTTTTCCCCCTTTCCTTAAAAAAGCTGAAGGTGAAGCCTGTCTCTATGTGGCACTGTGGTATAAGTGACCGCTGTTGTGGAGCAGAAAAGCCCATGAAGCTTAAAAATTTTGCGAAAGAGAAAACAATCCTCCTGCAGACCACAGTAAATAAAATAACAGCAGTGGGGTGATTTGCAACCATGTAACGGGGCTTTTGTCTGGGTCTATTTCTCTGTGCCTTGAGGGTTTCTGTGTTCCTTCTCTGCAGGATCTCAGTGTTTCGCCCCTCCATCACAAAGGCCCAGGGCTTGAGCCCCTCCTCCAACTGTTCACCCCCAATCTTGCCCATGCTGAGGCTTACTTACAGCAGACTGAAGAGTTTCAGTGGGGTGCAGGGCACTGCAATTTAGGATTTCTGCAGTACAGGGTGAATTTTCAAGAGTGTATCAGAGAGGGGAGCCAGACTTAAAAATAGCCTTTACTCATCCTATTAACCATCTCATTGCTGAACTGGCTTGTAAGGCAGGGCCCGCAGGCTTTTTTCTCTAGCAAACTCCAAAATTGCTACAGCTGCCTCTGATAGTATGTTTAAGGCAACACTTCACTGTGTCTTGGATAACAGCTGAATATATGTTATGATTCACCTCAGAAAGAACTACTTTAAAAATTATCCATATTCTTCTACACATTGGGTTTGAGGGAGGAAAGAAAGGGAAGGATTAGAGAAGTAGAGGGAGAGGGAGATCGAAAGAAAGTAGAAGGAAAAGAGAAATCTTGGTGAATGGAGGATTGAGGAAGCCTCTTGTTCTGGTTTGTATTGATCTTATTTGAGCATGGGGAGAGCTGATGAGTCTGTGATTATTTTAATGACCATGAAACCTATGTATTCAAAGAAATAAATGAAGCTGTGTAATCACCTCCTAAGTAATACCAAAGGATGATAAAAAGGACTGGAGGTGGGGGGGAAGGCGTCGTTGTATAACAGCATTTACATCACACAGGGCTTCGCAGGCAAAGGTAAACCAGGAGTTGAAGCACTGTATTTCTAGGGGGAGAAGAGCCTAAAATTCAATACTTAGTGGCCGTGACCTATCTAAGGCAAAGAAGAGTAAAGCATTAGAGCAATAATTGTTTTTGTTTTGGTACTTTGGAGAGGGAAACACAGATGTTCAAGGTTTCTGAGTGGCTTATAAAGCAAGAAAAACTTTGGAAGTGCCCCAGTACAGAATGTACGTACAGACAATGGGCAAATATAGTCAGAGTGTGTGAACCAGTATGCTCTAATTTTTAAATAATAATGAAAACATACTTGGTTCAATCAAAAGACAAACTTCAGGTTATCTTAAATAATGTGACATTATTTTAACATACATCGTAAAATAATATGATTGCTTGACTAAGGGGAGATATTAAGAAATATGAGACACCGACACAACCTTCCAAATTAAGAAAATGAGGACGAATACACATAAAAAGATGACTAGCAATACAACGTTGCTTAATATGAGTTCTAATTAGCTGCTTACAAATGCTTGTGATTTTAATGAACTTTCATGTTTAGCAGGCTAGTGCAGCTGAGGGGAAAGAGCCCCAACTCTGGAATCTGACAGCTGTTTCCCCATCCTAGTTCTTGTGCTTGTTAGTTGTCTAACTTGATAAAAATTGCTTAACATCTTTTTTGTTTTATTTTGCTTAACGTCTCTGTGTCTCAGTTTTCTCATACGTAAAATGGGATAACATCATCTGCCTCTTCATGTTGCCATGAGGATTAAATAAGATAATAAATGGAAAGCATCTGGCTGTATTTGGACAGGCACTTGATCATAATAGCTGTTATCATTAATCCCATTACTCTAAATAGGTAGCAGAATTTTTTTTTTTTTTTTTTTTGGTGGCTCGCGGGTATGGGGAGCTGAACCCTTGACCTTGATATCACCAGCACCACACCCTGCCAAGTGAGTAACCAGACAGCCCAACAGAAATTCTTAGTATAATCCTTTATGAACTCCAGGAAAATAAAACCTAATAAAAAAATTTAAGCCCTTTAAGCCATAAGGCTTCTGATCATGAATTTGCTATTATTCCAAACTCTACTACAAATAGGGTTGCTAGACAAAAAACAAGACACCCAGTTAAATTTGAATTTCAGATGAACAATACCAAAAAATTGTTTGTTTATCTGAAATTCAAATTTAACTGATCGTCCTGTTTTTGATTTGCTTAATCTGGCAACAAACAGTAAAGGTCTGACTATATTTAATTCCTACTTCCTTTAGCCCAAGTCCCTACTGAGGTAAAAGGAAAGAATTTATTGATTCGAAAAGTTAAAAAAATTAATAATGAAATATTATTATTACTTTTTTTACATATACAGAACATAACACACCAATATAAGAGGGAAAAACAACTGCCATTTTTTCATTTTACAGTTTAGAAAGTGACTTTCGTTTTTTTATAAGCTCTCACCCAAACCACAGCAATATGCTGTTTCTTGATTCATTTCGCCAGTCCTGAATCTGACTTCCACCAGACCTGAAATGAGGCGTTTTTTTGTGTTGCCTTTTCTCTTTCTCCAATGCAGGGCTCCATGGAAACCTGATTACACAGACCTGTGGAGCTGATAGTACACTGGCAAATAAGACACCCAAGTTGAGATGCTTCATCAAAAGGAAAGGTCCTTTCCAGGACAGTAGTATCATGTAGGCAAGGGGAGACGTCTTCCCAGGAAATGTTCAGGTCAATGGAGCAGATGTAAAGTGTATTATGAACACATCTATTACATTTTGCATTTGGTTAACATATGCTATTCCTTTGTTACTTTATGTCTCCCAGAAAGGATGATAGGAGGAAAGTCCTACTACTTCAAAATTGAGTGGAGAAATTACAGTATAATAAAATCCAGAAACTTACATCAACAATAAAGTTATTATTTATAACATGAGCTTTGAGCTCTTAATTCCATGAGACACTACCTGTGTATGAAGAATGTTAATAAGGACATCTGATTTAACTTTATCCATAAAAGACACTATACTAAAGTTTGCTTTCATACAAATTTACTTGGCTTTGTGGTAACATGGTTAATAACACACATATTTATGTATAAATTCATGAAATTACTGATAAGAAAAAAGGGCTTCAAAAATAAAATGGGGATTTTATTTTAGTTTTTAAAAATGTTAAAAAGTTTAAAAGTTGAGGTATTGGCCTTTGTTGAGTTCCTTTATTGATCACTAACACAAATAGTGTTCCCTTAATTTTTTAAACTGTATGATATCCCAATATTTATTTAAATACACAAATCTCTTCTATCATTTCTAAGTAAATTTGAAGAACTGGTTGTTTTTAAAAACTTTTGTTAGGTGTTATTGTCCTATCAGAGTTCTCATTTTATCTTAGCCTAGAGCTTAAAACAATGTAGCCCCCCAAATCATGAAAGCAAACAAAAAGCTTAGAACAACACATTTTCCTTTGAAGGGCAGAGAAAAATCATGGGTAATTCAGGCCAGTTGATTTCTAGAGAATCCCAGCTATCAGAATGACTTTTTTGGGAGCAGCGCCCAATGGTCCTGGCCATTACATGTCAATCTCTCAAACCAACAAACAAAAACACCACAGGCTTTAGCGCAATGGCATATGACAAATGCAGATGTGGCTCTGAAAAGAATCCTTTGCTTTTTAAACACCTGCAAGAATTCCAAAACAACTGGCATGCCTTGCACTCTGCCATAGCCACTCTCTTGACCCTGAGTTTAGAGTGGTGAAGAAAAAATGCCTAGAATGTACAGTATTCCATTCCTATTTGGAACAGCAGTGGGGGGCTGAAGAGCAAGCACAGTGTTGATATCATAATGCCACGCACCTGTTTTGGATGTAAAAAGAAAGAGTTTATTATAGAAACTGCAGCATTTTTCAGCTTCTCATTAAGTAGTCATGAGCAAATTCAAGTGTGTTTCCTTTTTATTAGGTTAACCCATCCTGAATTAAAAGCACCTATTGAGAGGTTTTTTTGTCCCTCTCTCTCCAAACAGGTATACTCTCTTCTTTTCACAATTAAATTGCTTCCCACATTTTGGTGTAGGCAGATGAGTAATTTGCAGTACTGTTGCAAGGTAGTGTTTCTTAGATACTTAATCACCAAAAAATAAAATTTAGTGTACACTTCTATAGAATTTTCTTAATTTTAAAAAGGTAAGCATATCCCAAATATGTTTCTGTTCAATGAACATGTCATTTTTTCAGACATTTTATATCTGAAAAACATGTTACCAAAGAGACATAAGTCATTCCTAGAGAATATTCCCACTGTGTGCATTTTAGCTGGTAGCTTTCAAAGTGTCATCCTTATAAAACCAGTACTCTGAAATAATGGCTAACATACGTTTTTCTAAGGTTATTACTTGGTAAAAGAAAATGTCCCTTTAACTCAGCAATTTTGGTTGCCAGGGTGAGTTGCTTGATAGTATTTTTCATTTCTTCCTTAATAACATTCTGTTAAAATATTATACTTAGTTACAAAATAGAATCCCTTGGGTTAGTAGCCAAACTGTAAATATAGATAGGGCACTACTATGTTATCAGAAAGAATGTCAGAGAGCAGGCTGCCCAGTAGCAAATTACACAGTTTTGGCTCCCAAGAATGAGATGCGTTGTTTGTTCTTGCACACTGCAGCTGCCTCCCCACTCCCCCTTTTTTTTGGTGGTTTATTACACACAAGCTACTAATGAATGGGAGCCGCTGTTTTACAGTACACCACACTTACAGGACTTATCTCTAGGCCTACCACAGATTTGACTGATCAACAGCAGGGCACCGCCATCATAATTCTTCCTAGAAACAGGAGTATAAAAAGGGGTTTGTTGGAGGTTGGCTGGGTCTGCAGAGAATCCTGCCCGCAGGGCTTGCTGATGCCATCACTAGCTGTTATGGTCTTCGGCCTAATAAGGTACAGAAACAAAGATTGTTCACTTATTCAAGAAGACTAAAACACCAGAATGATAGAAAGTAGAGGCAGTGGGGCAAACATCCAAGTGGGATTAAGGCCACAAGTGCAACTTTATAAGGCTGTTTGGGTGGCAGAATAAGAATCTGTAACTGAAAATCCAGTTTGAAAATCATTTATTATATGTCATTCATCGTTAGAGGTGGCTGTCATTAGGAGTTAAATTGTTGCATTGTGTCCAACTGATTTTAATAGTATTTTTGTAAGCTTCTTATAAGTTATCATAACTCAGAAACAGAAGCAGGATGTAAACAACAGATGACTTAGTGATATCTAAGAGATATCTCTAGAAAAATCTATGGTGCTTCATTTCTTCTGTCCTCTGCTTTAAAGTTACAATACATCCTTCAGATTTCTTAATTTTAGCATTTCTCTCATTGCAGTAAAATATTACCATTTGCATCTCTTAGGTTTTTTCAAATAAACATCAACAAAATAAATTAACCTATTTCCCAACAAAGCAGACACACTCATCCTGTTTTACAAGAGGAAATTTCAACTTGGAGAAGTCATTTGCCTCAGTCCTAAAGTCATTGAATGATCCAGCTGAGAATCAAATTCTGAAGTTCAACCTTTTAGTCCCTTCATTATACTTTCCCAATGATGGGAATGTAGCAAGATCAGCAAGAAAGACATATATAAGGGATTTTAAAAAGTGGTTTCCTCTCTTTGTGGAGTCCAAATACTGCTAGAATTAGAAACATGGATTATTAAAAGGGTATTCCCATAATGAACCTTGTGCATTTTGAAGTCATTGTCCAGTGGTTATTATCCAGAAAGAGGACTGCACATGACTGAGATTTTATCATATTATAAACGGACTACATATTCTAAGAGCACAATAACCTAAAGTCAATATAATTGACTTTTATATGCATTTGTAGTTAATGAAGATTTGATTATCTTAATATTACTTAATAGAATGTGATAGAGTTATAGAGTCTGTGTATAGGGTTTCTGCCTTAACAAAGCCTCATCAGTATTAATCAGGGTGTATCATCTGTGAAGACTACAAGTCAAATGTGGGAGTTTTTCAAGTAACATTTTCCCCAAAATAGTCAAACAGCAAGGCATCCTCTCTAGCTCTCTCCCACATCACCATGTTTTATTTATCCTGATTTTAAATCATTTAAGCATTTAAGATTGGTGCCAATTTTAATCTTATCTTTAGCATTTGGGACATTGCCAAGCTTATTATTTTATTCGATATTTTAGTATGTTCCTTTACATCTCTCAGCTCATGCCCCCTTTGGCGTTACATTAATCCGTAGTTGCCTGGTTTTTACTTCAGAAAGCAGAAGATTGTCTTATTGTAATGTAAGGAAGGATCACTGTATTTGTGAAACTATTCCACATCAAATAGGAATATTTGAGGTGAGACAGTGTGGAACTGTGTTAAACTAGTTCTCTTCTGAACTCTGTTACTTACTAGCTACATGACCTTATGCAATTTACTAAACTTCTCTGAGATTCATTTTGATCATTTATAAAATGGGGATACATTGTGCACCTGCCCCTTCTGCATCCCTTATTTTATATTCAAGAATAATATATTAGCAGTTACTTTGAAGCAGAAACATCCAGAAACAAACTAAATGACCATTAAGAGGAGAATGATTGAATAAATTCTGATCCAACTTTACTGTGAGACATTATACAGCAAATATGAAGAGTAAAATAGATCTATCTGTATTACCAGTATATTCCTCCTGACATATTGTAAAGTAAGAAAATACACAGTAAAATCTCATTTGTCTCAAAAAACCCCAGTAGCATCTATGTATATTCATAATAATGAGTAGTTAACCCTTGTGCAATGCTTACTGTGTGCCAAGCACTGCTCTAAGTAGTTCACATATAAACTCACTTAATCCTTGCAATTACCCAGTGAGATAGTCCTGTTGTCATCCCCACTTTTACAGATGAGAAAACTGAAGTCATACATAGAGAAATAGTAGAGCTGGGATTTCAACCTCGACTGTTTAGATCCAAAGTCTATGTGTTCTTCATTACTATTATTTTAATTTATTTATTTATTTATTTTGCAGCTGGCTGATATGGGGATACAAATTCTTGACCTTGGTGTTACAAGATGGCACTCTAACCAACTGAGCTAACCAGCTTGCCCAGAGTCTATGCTCTTAACTACTATCTAACTATCTATTTATCTATCTGTCTATCTATTTTCCCATTCATACATCCACACGTAGATCCATCTTTCTATCTGAGATCTGGAAGGATACACACTTCTGGGGATGTGGCAAAGGACACTTTCACTTTTTATTCTGTGTATCACTTTCACTTCTGCTTCTATAAACTTTTGTATTCTTTGAAGTGCCATAGTCAAGCTTAGAATTATTGTACTAGGGATATCTGATATGCAGCTGTAGTAATTATAAAGGAAAAGATTTACAAACAAGTGGTCCTTAAGCGGGTACTGAAAGCAGTGTCAATAATTTACTTTGGGTGGAGCCTTAAACATGCATATTGTCCATATCTTTGAGGGCAGGAGGTGTTACACCTTTTCCTTTTCAAACACCGTTTTCTTTCAGTAGAACCTATGCAGCACCTTGCCCCTCTGAGTACTCAAACATTTTGTTTACTAACTGAAAGGACCCTTTAAGTGAAAGATTTCTGTTAGGGCGGAGCTATAGTTTGAGCAGAGCAAAGTTAAATGGAAATTAAACATGATTCTGAACAATTACCCAGTCCTTGTCCTTTCTCTAACTTGATTAACCAGCCACAGATAAGAATGAAATTCTTTTTTTTTTTTCAAAAAGATGATGGTAAGGGGATCTCAACCCTTGGCTTGGTGTTGTCAGCACCACGCTCAGCCAGTGAGCAAACCGGCCATCCCTATATAGGATCCGAACCCGTGGCCTTGGTGTTATCAGCACCGCACTCTACCAAGTGAGCCACGGGCCGGCCCTGAATGAATGTTTCTTTTACCCTCCCAAACCATTGGGTCTATCCACATTATTTGCCTCCAATTTCATTCTAATTTGTGTTCAATGCATTTCAATCCATTTCACCTGTAAAATATTACTTGGGTCTGAATTCCAAGATTTAAGCATAGGATTTAGTTTCCATCTGATTTAAGATTTCATTTTAGCAAAATTGACATTTATAACAAACATCTTCTGCTTTATATTACCAAAAATATCTGTATTAGTTTATCATTTCAATTATTAAAGAACGACTCTGATGTTGTTAGAAAGTATTTAGTGTGCCTTTACTCTCTGCTTCTTTGCCTCAGTATCCTTTTATCAAAGATTCTCAGTATCTTTTTATCAAAGATTCTGAGGTTGTTCATATAATTGGCTGATACTTCCTGATTACAAGATCCCTCTACAGGTTTTTCAACAGATTTAAATGTATTTCTAAACTTTTCATTCACTTTTATAAGCATGAATGTAGGGCTTCTAAACAAATGGCAGAGTTAAAAAAAAAAGATTTTTTGTTTCTTTCCTTAGGCTGAAAATTCATTCCCATATCCTTGTCCTGTAAGTAGAAAAAAGTTTTAAGATGACCCTTAATATGACACGAAAAGGAAAAAGTACATTTTTAAGATGCAGTGTTTTTTTGTAACTCTTTAAGGTGACTCGAAGCATATGACACATACGAAGTGACTCACGAAACATCTTTGAAAAAAGAATGATTTCTTTTCCATAGAGTCTTCATTTTAAAATTTGAAATGTTATTTAACAAATATGAGAAACAGATATCCAGGTGAGGGTGTGGAGGCACACAGAGACACCTAGATCGTGGAATAAAATACTAGATTTCTAACACTCCTCTTCACTGAATTTTAACTCTTTTTAAGAGAAATGTTTTTACTAAAAGTAAAATATTTTCATGGCACTTATGATGATAGTACTTTCTGAATGAATAAAGCTATCAAATGACCTATTAGATAATAGTCAGCCTCATTTTGTATTATCTTAGAAACTTTATTTTAAATCCATTAAATGATTTTCAGTGGAACTCTCTGTGTGATCTCACTTCTCTGCCTTCCCCCTCTTCCTGGAGTTTGGTCTCATAGCTGTCTACCACAGCCCTGTTCCTCAAGTCCTACTTTCTCCTACAAGCCTATCCAGGCTACTCCATGTTTTCACAGCTGCTTGTTCATACTTTTACCAAAGCTTATTCTGAAGAGACATTTGTATACATACCCATATTTTTCTTTCTTAGAGAGCTAAAACCAAATCTTGAGCTTTTTTGTATTTTTCCATTACAAGCCCTACCTTCTCCCAGAACCTAGCACAAAATTCCATGATGGCAGGGAGTTGGTCTTACTCATCTTTGAATAACTTAGAGGAATGCCTCATACCTATTACAGAAGGTAGTCAATTACACTTTTTCAATGAATTATAGACACCCAACAATACTCACCACAAACAGCACAACTCTAGGCTTTGCTGGTAAATTAAGTCTCATAACCACAAATTGTATCTATCAGCACTCGGATACACTAGATTTATTCACAAAATTAAGAGATAGAGAAAAACTGATGTAATGGAGACTAACACTCAAATAGCTGATTGAATTTTTTTACTATGCATTGTGATTTTGTAAATAGACATTAATATACACTTTTACTTTTGGAAGAATCCAGAACATTTTTTTTTTTTTAAAGATGACCAGTAAGGGGATCTTAACCCTTGACTTGGTGTTGTCAGCACCACGCTCTCCCAAGTGAGCTAACCGGCCATCCCTATATAGGGATCCGAACCTGTGGCCTTGGTGTTATCAGCACCACACTCTCCCGAGTGAGCCACGGGCCAGCCCAGAAAACCTGTTTTGAACAGTGACAGTTGTTAAAGACACACATGAACAAAATGAATCAGACTGGTAATATAATAAAAAACTTAAAAATTCCAAAGAACATTTAAACAAACACATCTATTAATACGAGTCCTTACTTTTGCATTTCCTAATTTGTGTATCAGTGGAGGAGACACTAGAAGTACAGATTTGGAATATCTACCCCACATCAAAATGAACAATGTTCAGTCTAATGTCATGCTCTTGTAGAAAACCCTTAGCACAAGAAAGGTTATATGTCATTATTGATACAACTAATGAATGCAGCATGCCTCCATACATTTGGTTTTCTTTTTCTGTACACTTTTTAATTTTGTCTAATGCTAAAAAGCTTGACTGGATTTTTCTGGCTGTCAGCACCATTTAGAAGTAAAAGCCTCAATTTAAGTATATATAAAATGACCACTTTAATTGTATATAATTTAAGAAATAAAAAATAATAAGGATTTCCATGTTAACACCCACACTCCCACATCACATGATTAAAACAATATAATTAAAAACTTAAGAAGAATCAAATGGTGTCATCCTTTCATATTTTTGATTTTTGTAAGTTTAGATAGGTCACATTAATGTGTCATTAACTAAACCTTAATTTATTATTTCCAGATTATTTTGCAAACTTATTTTTTAACATGGAAAGTAGGCTGGCTACTTAGCTCCACAGGTTAGAGCGCAGCCTTATAACACCAAGGTCATGGGTTCAGATCCCTCTGTCAGCCAGCTGCCAAAAAATAAATAATAATAATAATAATATGGAGAGTGAAAACTCAAGAGAAACAAATGTAGTCCTGTACAACTTTGTTTATCCAGACTTGGTGAGATGTTAAAAGATATCAGTATATAAAAAACAGAAAGGAAACTTCACCTCTAATGCTCAAGAGCTTTATGAATGACATGCTCTGGAATAATTAATATTCAGAGCTTGCTTCTAGAGGTTTATGTAGTATTTTATTCTGAAACATAAAATATATGGTTTTCATGTACATGTTTTAAATTCCAGATAGTTTGTAAGGTCTGAGTATAAGTAAAAAATAAATGAATTAATGAATGAATAAATAAATAAAAAGTAGAAAATAAAGAAATTCCAGGCAACTATTTAATTTATATAGAGCTGCCCATGGTTGACTTTTGGAAATTAAGACCTTTAGCTCTGAAAGATCATTTAAAAATATATATAAAAAGGAAAACAATAATTGACAAAATTCACTTTTAAGTGAATAGGATTTTTTCAGTCATATGTCTTTTAACCTTTTTATCTGGAAAATATAAAAACTTTGCTGTTTAATACAAAATCTTGATGTTCAGGGATACTGGACACAAAAATAATTTAAAAGTCTATTGCTATGAGTTAATTATCACTTGAAACAGAAGCTATAAAATCTGAGTGGGTATCCTGGTTGTTCCATTTATTAGCCAGATGACAGTGTGCAATCACAGGTAAAATGGGACTGATGACATATGTTTATTTCATAACATTATTCCAAATAACACCAAGATCAAGGGTTCAGATCCCCATACTGGCCAGTCACCAAAAAATCAAAAACTAAAACTAAAACAAATTATTCTAAGGATCAAGCAAAATTACAAATTGAAAACTGTAATTAGGCCGGCCCGTGGCTCACTCGGGAGAGTGCGGTGCTGATAACACCAAGGCCACGGGTTCGGATCCTATATAGGGATGGCCGGTTTGCTCACTGGCTGAGCGTGGTGCTGACAACACCAGGCCAAGGGTTGAGATCCCCTTACCGGTCATCCTTTTTAAAAAAAAAAAGAAAAAGAAAACTGTAATTAGGAACTACACATTTAATAAATAAATAAAAGGAATAACACATTTTGTAATCGAATCATTGAATTGGATCAAATAAATTACAGATTAAAAAGTAAAATTATGAATCTGTAA